CGGGGGGCGGGGGGGTGACGTACCCGCCCCCCCTCCATATGCACGCATGCACAGCTCGCAATAGATTCATTCTGTTGTCACTTTCTCTCTTTTTATGTTTCGTCCACTTCCGTTATTTTTGGTTATGATGCTGGGGCAGGGTGCGCTCATTTGTCTCGGTTTTGGTCTAGGTGTTCTCGCCCGGCCGCATGGTACGAAGCCAGGGGACAGAATAGAGAGCGGCCGTTTTCTCGCTTGTTTCGTTTTTGTTCTTCCTGGTCTTGTCTGTCTGTCTTGTGTTTCTGGCTTGTGGTGGTGGTCTTCGTGGTCTTGGTGGTTGGTTGTGATAATGATGTTTGGTTGTGGTTTGTTGTTGTCTACCCCGTATCGTTGTCGTTGTTCGGTTTCGGATCATTCCCCCCTCTTTTTGTCTCTTTCGGCTTCGGTCTTGTTCACTCCACCGCGGCACGGAGATGGAGCGCTACGACCAGCTTTGCAGGAAGTGTGGCAGCCCATCAGAAGTGTCAGGTGTTGAGCAAGAACAAGCCGTAGCTTAGCGGGGGTTGTGGGGGGTTGTGGTGTGTCTTTCTTGACGACATTTTGTTAAGTCCCCGTTCCTGTTTTATTTTTGGTGGATTCCAATGGAATGCTCCCTTATGTGGTGCAAGAATTGACGAAACGACAGTGTGTTGAGCATTTGTTCGTTGGTGGGAGGGGTGTGTTAAAACTCCAGCAAGTAAACAGGGTTTTCCCCCTGTTTACGTGGAGAGTTTGCGGAAATCATTAGATAGGCTAGTGGTTACTCAGATGTAGAAAGCGTTTTGGTTTTCTTCTTGAGGGGGGATGGATGTGATATGCACCGCTTGCTGCCGCTGACTGCGTCCCACACAATAGCCGCCCGTGGGGCCGCACGTTTGTTTACACTACTACACCCTCACTCAGTATGGCCACGCGGCCTCGTGGCGGCCTCGTGGCAAGAAGTCTATTTCTCCTGCTATGTTAGTGTTAGTAGGAAACGTAGTGTTAGGACGTGTGTTGATGGTTGCTTGGGGTCGAACACCATTTTTTGTCGTCAGCCGCGAGTTTCACCTCGCGACGATAGCTTTTGGCCAGGCATTCGAGGGAGATTTTAGCGGCGGCACCTAGCTGCCGCCATCGCGCTCTCCTCTACCGCCGTTGCGGCGGTGTTCGTATGTGCGATGGATGGAGTCTCTGCGCGCTTGGGCGCGCGTGTGTATGGGGAACATGCACGGGAAGAATCTGTTCTGGGTAAAGAACTTGTGCCATAGAATGCTGTAACGACCGAAGACGTTGGTTGGGTTTGTAATGGATATGACACTGCGATTCGAGGTGATATCCTCATTTCGACGACAATTGGTCGGATGACAGGGACCGAGGAATGGAGGATGGATGATGCGGTGGTACGGTTTCGGAAGGGAGGGGGGGGGTCGCGTGGAATGTACCGAGTGTGAAAGGAAGAAGAGTGTGGAGTTTACCGAGAGCAGCCACAAATATCGTCGGCATGGGATTTGAGTTTGCTTTTTGATGGTGCGAAATGTCGCGATAGACGAGAGGCACGGTAGTCTAGGGAGCGTGCCGTTTCATATGGGTTGGGGTGGGGTGGCTTGGTTAGACCGGAGAGGGGAGGGGCTACAGTACCGTATATGACACAAGATAACACACCCCCTGGACCGATTTTCAAAGCTCGATTACTCCACGACGAAGAGGATGCATAAACGAAACAATACGTTTTCGAACAGCTCTCGACGAGACGGTTCCAACGCCGCCCGTTTTCGGCGCTGTGACTCTTCCTGCTGTTGAGAAATTGAGCTTTGAAAATCGGCCAGAGGGGGTGTGTTATCTTGTGTCATATACGGTTGTACCATGTGCAAGGAGATTGCGGAGATACCTACGCGCCGCGCAAGATTTGAAGCATGGAGGTGGGAGAGTAGAGTAGAGGGAAAAAAGGAAGGGTTGGGCGCGGTTCATGGCACCGTCTTTTTGTCACACTTGAGGCTTGGAACAATTTCCGTTGTAGGGGATGAGGCCAAGTCTTGTTAAGTCGTGATTATTTCGAAAAATAAAACTTGTAAAAAAAATACGAACATACATGTATGTATGCTACTTTCATCAACGCGTGCTCGGAGGAACGTTTGTGCACACTTTTTCAGGTCTTCTTCACATCTCTCGTGATGATGAAGATGTGCACGCACGCGCTATGTAGTCTATACGGAGGATGAAGGCGTTTCGGATGAATGCCACAGGAAAGGCTCTGCTCTGGCCCTTCCAGATCAATCACCCTTGCTGTCGTCGAGTGTTTGTTGCTTACGCGCGTCCGAGACATACATGTATGTGTCCTGTGATGGCCGCAGCGTGACACCGCGCTCTCGCTCGGATACACTGTTGAATGCATTTTATTCTTCTTCGTCCCTTGTCTTATGTGAGCGTCCCATGTCTTATGTGAGAACAACTGCTTAAAAGCCCAAGCACGTTGTTGGTTTTATCCCTCCAAAGACAAACCTTACAAAACTCCCGAGATTGCCCGGCGGTCAACAGCCAAATTCGCGTCGCTTCGACAACACGGCGGCACCAAAAATGTTTCTGCTGGATTCGAGCAACGAAAACCAGGTCGAGGTCGGGGGCAGACAGCGGTTGCAACGGGACCAACACCAAGCAACGTACCACGCCTCCAACTCTAGAGCAAGTCTGGGTGAATTTTCTCAAGCTTCAGGGGAAGAGATAGATAGATGCCGTTGGATGTCACCCATCTATCTACAGACTGGTAGACTGTTGCTACATAAATAGTCGACGGAGTGTTTGTTTTTCTTGTCTGCCTGCTGCTTCTGTTTCTCTCTTGTCTCTGTCTCCGTCTCGGTGTCACACACACAGGTGGCACACAAGACCTCTGTCTACTTGCCTGTCTCTCTCTCTCCCTCTCTCTCTCTCGGGCATGTCTGTTATATCAAATCAGCAATCGTACACAACAAACAACGCAACAAACGCATGCACCCACCCACCCGCACTGACATCTTCCCTTCACCGAGACAGGGCAATCTATGAAATATACAATCAATCGTTGGCATGTCCGCCGGACCGTTCCTTAACCTTACCAAAACCACAAAATCGAACGCGGTGGCGGACACAAAAGAACAAAACGCGCAGCAGCGCCTCTCCATCAATCCCGACGTGCTTCATTCATTTCTCTCCATGTGCCTGCACCAAAAAGTACGCTGCTGCTCTCTCGCCGCCTCTTCATTCCTCGTCCTTGGCATCATCAGGACCGTAGGGTTGCGAGGCGGGGAGGGGCGGGGACCCCGCGGGGGCCCGGCTACTACCGATCCTGGGAGCCCCCCCCCTGCCCTTGGCGCCCCCGGGGCCCCCGCGGCCCCTGAGGAGGGAAAGCCCGGCGAGCAGCCTCTTGAAGAGCTCATCGAGGATGCCGATGTCGTAGAAGCGCATCCTCTTCTTGCGCATGTCGTCCAGGAGTCGGAGGGCAACGTCGTACTGTCCCGAACGCTCGCACCTGTGGTTATTCAGACAGCGAGTTGCGATTTGTTCGTCGCGTTGTGAGACGACATGAAGCGGCAAAAGGGTGTGCATAGGATTGCCAAGAGGAGTAAAGAGGTCGGAGGGGAGCAAAAATCATACGGTAGAGAACGAGGGTCGCTGTTCGGATGTATGGCAGCCGACGTCAGTGCAGTATTGCTCTATGCTGCCGTTTCAAGCACGACTCGAGACGCAAAAAAAACGACCACCGCTGCTTCGTGGTTTCGTGTCGCGACGCCATTGCTCATGTTTGTCTTCCCCAAAACTCAAAAGAGCAAAAAACAAGAAGAAACAACCAACCCAACAAACAACAGCAAATCTCCATTCAAGCCGACAGTCAGGGGGCCAGAGAGGAGGACAGCGTCAAAAATATTTGTGGGTCAAAACGAAAAACACACGTCGCACAAAAAATAACCAACCAAATCGCGAACTAATATATTCAACTCACGCTCGAACTACGCTGGTGTAGCACTGGACCGTGGGCATGATTTTTCTGTCCTCCATCTCTTGGAAGAGCATGATCGCCTCCTGCCACCGGAGCTCGCGGGTGAGCGCGTCCACCAGAGGGGTGTAGGAGTGGATGGTTACGGAGCAGTTTCTCCGCGCCTGTAGCTTGTTGAACAGCTGGATAGCCTGCGGTTATGGTGAGCAGTGAATCAATCGCATGTGTAGAGAAAAACATCATGGTGACGGCGGTGTTGAAAAAAAAAACCAGCTTTGTATCATGCAGAACAAGAAGATAAGACAACCAACTAGCCTCGAACCCACTACATTTGCAGTAGACTGCTGTGGATCCAACAAGAAACCTGCCTGTATTGATACGATATGTTGTATCCCACACCCCAAACGTGATGTCGTGACACATGCTTGCAAACGAGTAGCGAGTCGTCGGTCGAAAACCACAGGGTCCACATCGATTCAAACGGTGGAAAACCCGTGCGAACTATTCAAGCGACGATGATCTTCGATCGCTACAGCGGTTATCGCACCTCCTCGATCTGGTCGGCATCAACGAGGGCCTTGATGACAACGTTGAAGCAGTACGTGTTGGGCCGCAGGCGCAGGTCGATCATACGA